CAAACGGCGGTAGTCCTGCTCAAACGCTTCGGGAGTTCTTACTGCTTAAGTTCGACCTCGTCCAAGTAGGGCCTTCTCGGATTTTTGGTTGAAAACGAGAGGAGTTAAGCTCTAGCAACCGCTACGTGTAGATGTTGCAGTCAACGCGGAAGTCAATCATCCACAGCTTGACTGCAACGCTTTTGATATGAAAGAGAAACAAAATTCGGCCTGTTTGTTGCCAGACTTATGGACCGACCTAATAATAAAGATGATAAACCCTACAATAGGCATCAGGTTGTGCAGGTTTGCGGCAGAAGGCAGAAGGTCATTTTTGTTATTCAGATTGTCACAGGTAGAGGGATAGCAAATTTGCTTTTTAAGCATCTCAGCAAACTCTGTAAATCCAAAACAAACGCAACACAATAACTCACAAGTTCACGTGGAAAAGTAGTGATCATGAGTGATTGTGTAATCCTATGGTGACATCTTTTTCACTGACATTGTTTTGGTTAGAACATCATTTCTGGACTCCTAAAGGCAAAGTTCGGGCTCAGACCCACGTGAGATTTTACTGAGGCTATAAGCGCTAGGTACGCAAGTGTAGTGGTCGCGTCACTTACCTACTTCGAAAAGCGTTACTTAGACGCTAGGCGCTAAGAACTTTGGCATGCTCCACCAGTTGAGAAACGCTCCGCCTACCGCTGATATCTTGTCTGCGTCGCTATTCTAAGCGCTCTCTCTACTCGTACTGCTGTAGCGCACTCCGCGCTCACATTATCTCTCATCTCCTTGCCGGCCCTCTGAGCTTCTCCGCAGTGTAGAGCGAAAGGCTCGTACTTCCTGCGTATTTCACATTTTTTTCCTTTTTTCTCCATTGGTGGTCCACCTCCTACCTCTACTTCCACATTTAAGTGGAATTACCTCATCAATATAATCCTGAATCTTGCCTTCAAGTCAAGTGGATCGTATCAAATACGAGCTCTCCCTTGTGTTGTTCAAATAGAGTTCGGATCTTGATTTGGTCTCACCATAGCACCATTTTTTACTGAGTTTAGGAGGGGGTTATGAGAAGGTAAGTGTGCTCCGAATCATCGTCATGATAGAAAATTCATATTCCACGGAGGGTTTTCTTTATCTAAGAAAAGCGCTGTTTTCTTCAGACTATTTGTGTACCTACCCCAGCCCACATTTCGCTCGATTTTGAGAAATGGGAAATCGCAGAGTGGTCTGACACGTTCTCATCTATGACAACATTTCCACTAATCCTGACTCTAGGATTTAGATATCTGAAAGGTAGGTTGGGTGTTAGGTTCAATATCAACATAACACTCCACGAAGCTTGCAACATTGTTTCGGAAAAGGCGGGAATTCGACTCGTCACTGAGACAAGTCGAGTATTCAACGCAACTATCTTTCCAGTCACTCCAAACATTTTGCAGTTTAGTGTCCCGTTGGGGATTGAACTCACTCACAAACGTAAGTTAAAACTCATGCTCTTTTAGTTCAGTACGAATCACAACTCTTATCCATGTCAGGCTAGACGATTACGGTAAACCACGTAGAGCTCGAAGGTGGCGGCAGATGGCGTTATATTCTGAAGACGGCGGAGGCAGTGAAGGTGGGCCTGCTGCTGTTCACTGGGGAATACCTAAGGAATATTGCGCCATGAAAACTTCGTTAACATCGGCTCCCTGTGCAATAAAAAGTTCGATGCTGCCGTGGCGGACGTTGTAGGCGCGGTCAATTGGAAAACGAAATGTTGTAGTCATCCTTTCGGCAGACTGGCTAGCTTTTCTCCCTCTTTCAGGACTTAACAAAACCGGGGGAATCAGCCATTTAGGAACTATAAGACATCCTATGTTCTTTGTTGGAGGGCCTGCTCGTGCATGCGAATGATCATAGCCGCCTGAGACTTACACGGCCCCTAATAGTAGAGATTTCACCCCGCAAGTAGAGCAGTTACAAGAACGCCTTTCTGCATAACTAACTATTAGCATATGAAGTAAAAATATTTGATAACTTCAGCCTAACGTAATTTTGAATCACTTCTTCTTGTATTTTCTGAGACCCTGTATACTTCAAATGCCTGAGACCGGAACATAAACCAGGTCTTATTATCGACCGCACTGCAGTAAAAAGGTAGTTGTACTACAGTTATAATCATAGGATTGTCTTATGATTATAGTTATGATATGATTATTTTTTTGGAGCGGGAGTGCTTAGCCGTTCACCGTATCCTACATAATTATGAGTGAGGGTTATGAACACCACTAATGGGATGAACTTCGGTTACAGTCCATTTACAATGTCTCTACATCGGAGATTTTTTGCAATTTGTGGACACAGCATTCCAACTGTTAGTGTTGCCCGAGCATTTCAATGTCAACATGAGCACCGTCACCGATTGGGACACTTCCCCTAACGTTTGAAGCGTGAACGCTCAACTGAAACAAGCACACCGAATTTGTTAAGCCTTGCTCGTAGGGTGTCCCATGAATATTGCACCAGATTTTGAGCTCAAGTTCTGTAGATGTTTGTAGCTTTCCTTCCGAGGTTCGCAGACCTTTCAAACCTCTATCCTCTTGTCAATGAATATGCCAAACTCCACGGCTCAAGACTCGGCCTGCATCTCATGGTGCGCCTAAACTTCAAAAGAGTGCCTAACCCCTCACTCAGCTAGCTCGGACATCCGGTGATAGTATCGCGCTTCTTTGAATTTTCAACCGCGGCCTACCGCGCACTAAATAGAACACCAATAAAAGTAGCCTTTGGTGTGGCCGCCCCACAAGTGCTGACATCTTGGATCACATGAAGAAAAGGAAGGAAAAGCATTAAGAAGCGAAACGCCTGCAATACCCGGGTTGGCTCAATATTTGTGACCAGAATGCTGGAGTATCTGAACACAGCCGTGTAGAGACTGATCGGATAATAACTGCTCTCAGTCTCATATAAGTTGCATAAGCACCACCGCTTAATCGAACGGGAGAAGCACAGCAGAGATAAAAAGTTTAAAGAGCCGGTGTCCAGGGCCGAAAATGGCCTCTTTCCGATGTCAATCCTCGAACAAATGGCTCTCCTATCCCTTGATTTCAGCGTGCCAGACCAGCGGCTGTTTTAGGTTGCAGAGCCTGCACTAAACATTGCATCCATATGGATGAACCGGAGCCTTTTCTTTGCAAAATTTCGGAGAGAACACCCCAGAATGCGGGCCGCAGTAGAGTTGCGCTGAAGCAATTGGGAGCCGTACTCACAACAATAGGAGCATATCCTAAGAATGTCATTCCTTTCAATATGTAAATGTATTGCTATAATTTTTATAGAAACTCTTGAAGATACATCCATTCCGAAAGAAGTTACAAATAAAGAAAAGAGGTGCAATAGGGTTGGACACCATGTGTAACATCTCTCCTCAGCATTGATATTTATTTCCGTCAAACACCAAAGGTAGTAACACCAGCAGTGACTCTTATGAGTGCGTTCGCTCCAGTTTTACGCCAACGGCGAAAAGGGATTGGACCGTTCAAAACCACCCATCGGGGCTGTCTCCATCACAGCCCACATATTCGTAAGTGCGACCCCTTCACCGCAGGGTCGGTCCTACGTTGCTACAAGTAGCAACGGGGGGGTCGTACTTTGATGAGTTTTTAGAGGGGGGGGGTCGTACTTGCTTCGATTGTGAGAAGTTGCATGAGGTGACGGAGGAGTGGTGCGGGAGAAAATTTGCCGTTTTGCGCTTGAAGCTTGGGATTGAAGGTAGGAGGGGGTAAATTGGTGGAAATTTAGGGAATTTGGGTAATTTTTACGGTTTCAGAGTGACTATATATACCCCCCCCCTCCCTCCCCGCTCGACGGTATTTTTGGGGGGAAAGTGGGCGGGGTTTTCGTGGGTCGAGTGATACCAGAATGAAGTACCATAGCGAGGAATATGGTGGTCGACGGTCGAGAATTGGGGGGGGGGTCGTATCAAGTCCACCTTTGGGGAGGGGGGTCGTAAAAATTTTTCGAAAGGTAGCAACGATAGGACCGACCCTGCTTCACCGTCATCGAAGCAGTGCTGCGGCCAGAGTCATCCCTGCGTTGCGCAGTTCGCAACGGCACGTCGAGAGATCCTCAACGCACGCTGTATGGGCGGGGACACAGACGGCTCGAGCATGCGAGTGTGAATGTTCGCGCGAGAGAACGTGTCTAATCGGGCGAAACTGCGCAAGGTGGCCATTGAAAACTGCGCAACGCAGGGTTGACTCTGGCTGCGGCTTCAGTGACATTTGCTTTCTAACGCATCTTATCCCTAGTTCACTTTCAATGACCTGCGATTAATGTTGCCATTGGAGGGGGAGGCAACATTAATGTCATTCAAACCAGTGACTATTACTTGAACCAGTGCTTTACTTCGTCCTCGTCTGACGTGTCATGAATTCCGTTATAGACTGACAGACACGCACAGCGATGCGCACACAGACATACTTACAGGCATGCGGGCATGCCCTAGGAACGAACTAGTGTGATTCTTGTACATGAATATGGAAGCTTGGTGTGAAATGGGCCGGCAGTAAAGAAAAAAAAGGAATCTGTGGGAAACGCTTAAGTTAAGGTGTTCCTATCTTTGTAGTGCGGCCGTGCCAACGCAATTAGAGAGTGAACGCGCATGAGAGAGCGCGATAGATGAAAGCGCGCCGGACAACAGCCTGCAGGGGACATTGCAGCTGCTGCAGCTAATTTTGCAAGGCCTTAGCGCGCTTCACCTCTGTAGCTTTCGCTGAAAGTTTTTGAGCAAGGACCACTTCTTTAATTCGATTTGAAACTCTTTTAGGGTATAATGAGAGACGATTTGCAGTGCGCTTTTCTGGATCCAGGACAGATGTATTACAAACAAATGCTTGTTAATGGGAAAGCTTTTATAAGCTATTCCAACCACGACAGATACAATGACAACACACAATAATATGGCAAAGCAAAAATGGTTAGTAGACAAATAGAGCGACGACGACATTCGACACTTCCACTTCGTTCCGGTGGCTCTACTCATAGTCCTAAAATAGGAAGAGCTATTAGAAACTGGGCCAGATATATGGTTCATGGCATTAGCAGTGGATCATGACGCATCTGATGAGCCCGATCCCTCCATTTCAAAATGGATACGATGCTCCGCATGATGCTTCATCTACCTACGAAAAGCCTAAAAGCTCGCATTTCAAGATGTTCCCTGAAACCTCTAGGAAATGCGTCAAGAGTGAATTTGGATTTTTTTTTGCACATACATATGCATATAAAGACCGAATTTCAATCTGAAGACACAAAATTTCGGTTTGCCATTTGAAAAAAAGGTAGCTCAGGCCATTTCATTGAATTTCCTCTGCATTTTTTTTATTTTCTTGGCATTTTATCTCTTTGATTATTGTCATTATCTACACGTTGAGAAAAGTTAAACTGCTGTCGCACTTCAAAAAAGGACAAACTGCCGCAGATATTCTGAGCTCCTGCCAAGTCGCTGGAGAATCGTGAGCACACTCACTTGGCACCGAAAGATGTCTTCAGCTCAGGATTGGCAAAATGAGAGACTTGAAGGAACTCGGATTTCCTCCCTGTTTTTCGAGGAAATGAGCTGGTATGTTTCCAGAGAAGCAAGACTATGAAATCCTTCTCAAAAGAAGGTCTCTTGGTGCTTGCTAGCTTCAGTGTCCAGATTAAGATCTTCCTGTATCACAAATAGTGGAAAAATGAAGAAGTCACCGTTTCCAACAGCAAATCATCGCGGAAGCCGAGCCGCTTTTCCAAAAAGGGAAGCCGAGCCTACTGGAGCAAAATCAGTTTGTTGCCTTGTGCTCTGCTTGCCCTTCCATTGAGATTGAATCCAACTTTCTCCTTTCTAATAAGTTGCTCTCCCCACAAATTTATATGGAAGAAGAAAAAAACATTGAGAGTAACGGAAACAGACTACTGTAGATAAAACGGAGCTAAAAAAGCTCGAACGTCTTCCAAAAAACACTAGTCTCATTCTAACCATCTAAAGATATGCACGATTTCCACCAGATAGTTGAGAAATTTCACTTCGACGTAGCTTGTGCCTTTTTCCCCGCGATTTAACGGCTTATCAATGGTAAGAAAAAAACTGTCTTCCGGTGCATTAATAAACATGGCCCCACACTGATATCTTTTTGAGAACATATTGAAATGCAAGCTTTTGGAAATTTGTCTGTGAAGGTACTGTAATGCGGTACTCAACATCGTATCACAATCGTAAAATACACATAGTGTTAGGAACACACAAGGTGTAGTAAGATAAAGTAAGGTATGTTTCAACATACTTCGTCATCCCTTTCCGCGTCAAGCTTCAGGATGACCTTTTCGAAAATGGCAGGCGGTGGTGGAACACCAGGAAAACATGGATAGGCGTTCTTCTATAAAGCTTCTTTTCTCAATATCTTTGCGGTTACGGTAACACATGGACGACTACATTAACGGACAACAGAACTTGGACACAACATACATTGTCATACACACGTCGACGTTCAATGAAATTGCGGCGATCAATCTGACGGTCATATTTCGAAAAGATTTGAACTTTGGGCTGAAACAGGAGATCAAACCTTTTTTTTAGAAAACATTAAGCACAAATTAAACTCCACTCATCACGTAAAACATACTGCTTGTGTTAGTTGAAGGTGTGAGTCTTGAAACCATCACAGTGGAGGTTGCAGAACCCATCCCTTTCTGCGAGGCATCTTGACCCCTGTTTCTCCACGGTTTTCTTTTTCAGGCGGAACAACTCCCAAATTCTCATAAGTGAAGGTCGCAGTCAGAGGATATCGCGGGAGCAATCAAAATATCAAGGGTATCGACAAATATTTGAGCACTACCGAACCTTCACACTTGAACAGATGTTCGCGATCAAAAGGCTCAAAACTTGATAACTCGTTCGATAAGCGATACACAATGTCCGAAAACGGCTTTTTAACAAATTATGCCCGTCTTCAGCAAATCATTTCATAATAGTTACGGGTTTCCTTATGATAGGTACACTCGGCTACCTCTCATAGGCTTCCACACGCGCTTTCGCGCTTTATAGAAACGAGTAGTGGCAGCGGTAGTTATAAATTTTGAGGCTGATGCTTATTGTAACAGGGTGCGGCAAAATTGCAGTGCCGCTGGAACCAGAGTCAACCCTGCGTTGCGCAGTTTTTAACGGCCACGTTGCGCAGTTTCGCCCGATTAGACACGTTCTCTCACGCAAACATTCACACTCGCATGCTCGAGCCGTCTGCGTCTCCGCCCATACAGCGTGCGTTGAGCATTCTCAACGTGCCGTTGCGAACTGCGCAACGCAGGGTTGACTCTGGCTGGAACAATGCATAGGCTATTGTTAGGCTACCGTGTACCCAAGTTGCGCTTCGGTTGATCCTGGATCAAGAGGTGACCATCATTGAGGTAAGGGTTCATATGCTCTATTTCGGGTGCTTCCTACGTGGCTTTATTCCATCTTTTGGGGCCGAACAAAACGCATTACCAAACGTCTAATGGTAAGTAGTCGTGGGAGCTCCTACAGCTACCAAGTTTCTATCCAAATGAACGATCAGATTTAGATTATACTTTTCTGGTTTTGCATAATCTCTTGCATGTCGCCCTAGCCGTAACATGGCACCGTAGCCAGGCGGAATGCCTTGTCTCAGGTGTCGCTCAATTTAGTCGCGCGCAGTGAGCGGCGGGACGGACCATACCCTGTCGTTGAGTGCTACGCACTAGGTTAGTTAGCAAGTTTTGTAAAAAAATTAGTCATCTGAAACGCGATCCTGCAATCAGTCATTGCCAATACCAACAATCGCAACTAGTCAGTGCTGGAGATGACGAAACCATATAATGTTTTCGAAATAGCCCGATTTCAAGCAAAATTTCTCCATGATTTTCAGTTGACTTTAAGCTCCCAGCTTCCGTGTTTTTTTACAATCTACATGTCATATCTATGATGTTCTTGATAGCTATATAGAAATAAATTAGTTCGGTGCAGATGTTTTAAAATTATTTCTTATCGGAACTTACTGGGTATTTCGACGAAGCGGCATCGGTGGGGTCGATACCTTTCTTCAGAGCATTGTTACGAGCTACCTGACGCTGACGCTCGTTAAGTTCTTTCAGCTGGAATAGTTCATCGAATGAAAAGGTTTTGAGATCTTTCTAGTGCTTGAATCTGTTTGAACTGTTATTCGCTTCTCGGGTTACGATATACAGTGGAATAACTAACAAAATCCCTTCAAGCAAGTATTTCTCCTGTCTGAAGTTTCAGTCAATAATGAACTCGGACTTCGCTTTCGAGCTCGTTTTACAAATGGCGCACTTACGTCGTATTCCTGACGTTCATGCCGCTTCTCGAGATCGTATTTCTCGGCCTCCAGCTTGCATATACGTTGGTGAAGCTCTTTGATTTTTGCTTTTAGATCATTTGGCTGCAGATCGGACGAAACAGGTATGCCTTTGGCCACAGAAGCGAGGAAAGCCTGAAATCTTCGAGTGATCACGCTTCTAATAACGGCTTTATGTGGACAGTCTAAAAAACTGATCATACCCTCTTCGCTTCTTCTTGTTGTTCTTTAGTCATGCCCATTTCCTGTTTGGCCTGTACGATATTGCCAAATTTGTCATTACGGTTATCAGATTTTTTCGGAATAACGAAATTACTGAAAAGTACATAATCAGAGGTTCTCTAGGTGGAAAAAAATTTAAAGGAAAAAACTAAATGGAAGATAAATAAAATGGAACACAAGTCCTTACCGTCCACCTTGTCCAGTTGCCGACGAGAACGCTGACCCGGTCATTTGTTTCCTTCTCATCTTTTCCTCGTCCTTCTTTCTCTTCTCCTCTTCTTGCTTTGCTTTTTTTTCTTCCTTAATGCGAACAATCTTCGAGTTCTAAGGTTAATTATTGAAATCTCTTCAGTACTAACAATAATTGCAAGCCAATTGTGTGCATTTCTTGATCATAGCTATTTCTTAGCGGAAGGACCCAAACAGAACACGTAAATTTTGCAAGAACCTTTGACTGAGAAGCAAATGCATATAGTATACACTGCGAAGCATAATCATACTTCTACCTACAAACTTCACGAAAACTTGCATCTGAAGACGTTTTTGGAAAAGGTTTTAGAGAGGAAGTGAGGTACAATAAACGCAGTTCCGAGTAAAACACAAAGATCCAATTTCAGAGAGCAGCAATTTTTTATTTTCATTTTTTTTTTGAAAATATTGGCTTAGTCATAAAATCCTGCGACACTTAAAACAAATAGTTTTAGGGAAAATCAAAACCCTTTCCGGTCGATTTGGCATTTGATTGCCGTAGTGTGTCTTCTAAGGCCGATGTCATGGTTTGGGAATCATCCGAGCGTTGTGCCAGCGAATCGAACGTTGCACCAGCGAATCGAACTTTGTGCCAGCGACTCGAACGATGTACCAGCGAGTCGAACTAGGTACCAGCGACTCAATAGTGGCGGGACCCAACTTTCAAAGGAAGTTGGCCACTTTCAAACAGTGCCCACTGTCAACTCCCGCCACTTTCAAACAGCGTCCACTGTCACGTGACACTGTTTGAATGTGGCGGGCTTCTTTTGAAAGTTGGGTCCCGCCACTATTGAGTCGCTGGTGCCTAGTTCGACTCACCGGTACATCGTTCGACTAGCTGGGGCAAAGTTCGATTCGCTGGTGCAACGTTCGATTCGCTGGCGCAACGCTCAGATCGTGCGATTCGCTAGCGAATCGCTCGATTCGCAAACTATGACAACGGCCTAAGTTTCTAGCAGAAGCCTACGTGAAGGCTTCAAGCAGCGTTTTACAGCTCCAAACTTCGCACCGAACCGAGCCATCTTTTCACCTATCTTATTCCTCGAGCACCTAGGAATTCACTCTGCTAGCACGCGTTGAAGCTAGTATCTATGCTGTATTAAGGAGGTGACTCGTTCAGCACGCCATCGTGTCCCTTTGTCTCCCATCCGGAGATATTTGACTCAAAGTAGAGCACTGCCCTGGTCGGCTGTAGGTGGTGAATGGCGAGCATTGACCGAACTCCCCAGAAGCGCAGCCGATTGGTATCAGTCGTTAGTTAGCAACAACTGCGAGGTACACTCATTGAGAGTTATCGAGGATCTCTACGTTCTCGCTTACTGGGCAACATGTTCGCAATGGTACCACATGGTTTGCGCCAGTCTGGGAGCGTGTGACCGTGGCAGAGATTTCTCTTCTTCCACCGCATCAAGAGAATCCATTGACTAAAAAGATGAATAATGAAGACAGCTCAAGCTTTGGGGGAACTGTACACATAAACTCTATCGGATTCGACAGAGAGTAAATCTGCCTGCAGGAACCTTCGTAGAGAAGGGTTTTTGTGTTGTTGATGAAGTTGCGGTTTGATTCTTCACAGAAAGCTACAGCTATACCTGCACTGCAATGATGACTATTGTCGGCTCTAACTACCTCTGAAATTTGGCCGAAGCCATGCGTGAAGTTCACCACTACGTTGCACAACGTCGTGCTACCCCACTCCCACGCATGTCTACATGTGACAAAGGATTATACATCGAAAGATCACGAAGCGTGGTTGAGAAATTTTGCAGTATTTAGTGTTCTAGTCGAGCTTAGCCGCTTCTAATTATGTGATAACCAGTGTCGTGAGGTAAGGTAGCCAAGAGGTTGCCCGGGAAAAGTGTACGTCTCCTATATGGCAACATTGATAGCCCTGCTTATTAAATATTTCATTCAACAAAAGAACGTGCAATCAAAAATCTTGAAGAAAGTGCCGCACGATTTCTGGACAACCCTATACTTGCTCTGCCGATCACGTGAAATGAGGTCTAGACTAACCAGGAAAGGAACTTCCCGTGGAACTTTGAGATGAGGCCCAGATATATCGATGGAGCTTCAAACTCTGATTACAAATATGGAAACTGAAACTGCAAAATGACCCCGCCAAGGAGTTGTGTGCAGTCAAATTTGGCTGGAAGTAAAGCATTACACTAGCCTCCAGGCTTTTAAAGCCGCCGTGGAGTAGTGGCAGTGCTCTAGGAATTTGCACTCCAACGGGACGAGAGCTTATGATCTCCAGGGTGAAGAGCGGGGACACCACCACTGCTCCGCGGCGACTCTGAATGCCTGTGGTCCAGCACAGTTCATGCGTAGTGCTTTAACTTTGGCTGCCCGCAACTTCCTTGGCGAGTTCATTTTGCAGTTTTAGTTTTCATATTTGTAATCAGCGTTTGAAGCTCATCGAGATATATGGGACTCACTTCAAAGTTCCATGGAGAGTTGAATGCCTTTCCTGATAGGACTCACTTTCATCACCAGAACCATCAGTAACCCACACATTTAGGTTTTCATTAAGTACTGGTGGAAAAAATTTGAAGCGATAAAATGGCATGAAATGTCATCTAACTGAAAGTCACAATGAGTCATCGTTGAAGGTGAAGGTGATATGGCGTTGTGATAAGTAGCACGCTTACCACGTGAGCGGTCCGGGTCATGCATCCCTCCGGAGTCGTTAATTGGTACCAGACTTGCCCGGGAGGATAGAAAAACACTGAGTTGCACATCGGCTGGCCCCCGTAAGTCACTGTATAGGCCACATCGCATTTAAACGCCACTACGAATGTACAAATGGAAGTAGAATGCGTGCCGCATCCCAAAAAGGGATTGATCAACGACAAATGCTTTACCTTTTAACTCGGAGTGCGGTAGCCCAAGCGTTATGGGGGGGGGAGGTAAAGACAGGAGCCTCGTTATCCCTCTGGAAGAAGAAGAGATACTATTTCAAAATGCACAGTGAGACACTCAGCTGTTGAAAACGAGAGAACGCACAGGATGTTATAGTCGCCAGGTTCAGACTCCATCAAGGAGTGGCAGATCGGGTTTTTAAATCGCTAGATCTCCACTCGATGGCTGTAACAAATTCAAGGACCGCGACGTGATAGCATGTTCTCCATGGAACCGAACTATGGTTTCCGTGGATCAAAAGGCTATACAACGTTTTTTTTTGTGCCGCTCGCTTTCATATCGTCCGCCGGCATGACGGGCTGTCAACCCATGGCCACTCCACTTGTAAGAGTCTGCAAGAAAGCAGAGCAGAACCGAAACTCTTCCCTGGCCGTGCTAATGAGGGTCCCCAGCTTTACCTACTCCCCCATCTGTCTACAGCGAGCACGCGCCTGCCGACGACATTTATGGAACCTCTACACTTTCTGAAGTACGTATCGTTTCTGGAGAAACCACACTGCTTTCGTTATCAACTTTCAGGAAGGATTCATATACAAGAAGTCTTCGATGCAAGTCCTCCACATCACTTCAAAGCTGCTAAGAGCTCCTCACTCAGAGCAGAATTTTTTGGTCTTTTTTGGCCTTCAGAGGGGCCCTCAGTGAAAAGAACCCGGGCTGTGTAGTCCAGGTGGAGCTCCTACAGCATACATGAAACCGTTCAGAAAAAAGGCTCTACTGTACCCTGGGTCTCCCCCGTTAGGCCCTTTCGCTACAGGTATGAAAGAAGTTATGAGCTCAAGGTCTTGCACGTAACTGTGAACACCTTTCGGCAATTGGCCGAAAGAACGATCCTTTGGTCTTCAGTCATTAGAGGGGTGCACCCGACAACAGTGCTCTGAAAGGCACTCAGACGAGGAAGCACATGGGAGCGCCTTAAATCCCCGGGCTGCTTAATCTACTCCAAGGGACGAGGTGCCACAACCGTCGATCCGCTGACGCTTGAGTTGATGAAGGAAAGGGTAGAACCGGAGGGGGAGGAGGGGAGACCATTTGGAGTAAAGATAGCACACGACCTCTGTTAAAAACATTTACGGGGCTAAGATACTATATCTACATACCCATGTGAATCACAGATCTGGAAAGGAAAGGCTTGCTCGATACTGGTCATCTTAAGAAGAAGCGAATGACGGTTCTCTATGCTGGAAGCATTGCCCTTAGATATCAGAGAGCATCTTTAAAGGCACAAGTCGGCATTGAGTTGATGCGTTATTTTGTTTGAAAATTGGGCAACAGATGCAATGATGAAACGTCGTTAGTGAGAAAAAGCAATAAGCACTATGTATAGAAAACACTAAATATGAGGTCGGGCGTGGTATGACGGAGAGAACAGCGCTGCGAGGAGAGGGAGAACGCGAGATATTACGTCGTTCGAGAGGTCGCAGAGACCACGTATTCCGTGGTTGGTAAGGATGGCAGCGCGGTAGCACACAATGCAAGACCTTAGCGCCGTTACCTCACACTCTTGAGTCGCGACCGTGTTGTGCCTCCTGCTTTTGGAGACCCATATTTCTACCTCTGGCTCTTGGGACATAATCCCGACTCGTGGCTTCAAGAAAAGGCGCTAAAATGGCAGGAATATAAGCAAATGGGGCATGGACTGTAGGGGGGAGGGTGAGCAGAGAAGAATAAGTTCTTAGCACAAAGAGTCGATAGTAGACCGCAATAGGGAAATTATCGGGGAAAATATACAAACTGTGGTACCTATCAAAGAGGAAAGGATTTTGTTGACTGTAGCGTGAGCAAGGCACTTGAGCCAAAAGTTCCTGTGCATCGTCTTAGATGTCTCATATCTTCAAATGTATTTCTTAGTGTTGAGCAAGCTTAATATTTCTTCGATTCTACTAGCATAATTTACCATACACATATAAAACTTTGTCATGAGTCATTTTCCATTGAAGTACCAAACTGCGTGCTCGATTTGATGGAACATCAGTCGATCAATCTCTTACTAATCATAGCTCAAGTGAAAAAAGTAATAACTTCGGACAATAATGTTGTTGTATTTTTCGGACATGACCTAGAACCTCAATTTTTGATTTTTTTTTCCAGTTACTTAAACTGTTTGTGCAAGAAATAAATTACGTGCGTACACACTGATACCTCTTCTTTGCGGCGACGATCCTCTTCCAGCTTTTGACGTTCGGCCTGTTCACGTTCCTCTTGCTCCCGTTCCAGCCTACGTCTCTCTTGTTTTTCCTTCAGCTTTTTGAGTTCTTCTTCCTCCTTTTCTCGTTCTACACGTCTTCTCTCATCGTACTCTTGCAGTTTGTTTTGTTGCTCCTCAACCTGACGTCTCTTCGAGGCCTGAATTGCAAAATTGTTTTTTGTTTGCAATATTTTTTAATCGATAACATCAAACTGGTTTTTATATTCTCATTGATTACGCTCATCGTGTCTTCAGTGCAGATCAGCTTTTGATGCTACCCATATTAAATATCAGGGATGGTAGTAGTATGTTCTCAACTGCTAATTACTATGTTACCATGAGCTCAAGGTGATCTAACAAAAGCTTGCATCAGAGGTGTCCTTTAGAGTAGAGAGGACCTTTGGAGCTAGGAGGTTTTAGAGCCTAAGTGAGTTTAAAACCCATCCAAAACTAAGGGTGACCCCATTTTGTGGCAATAGGAGGACTGGCAGTACTGCCCAAAGGTCTTCTTAAATATGACCACATCCAACTTGCTAGCGTACGTGGGTCAAAGCAGGTGATGGATAGGGAAAAGGGAACTACTCGCATTGGTACGTCAATGGTGTAGCGCCCACGTTCTACGTTGATTTGGGATAACTCACGTGACCAAGTACGGAATGTCCGAAACTTTGCAACCTTCGTACGCCATTCCCTTTTCGTACAACTCTTTCAAAGTTGACAAATAGAGCTACGTAGGGCATTGGTAGCGATTCCGCTCATGAGAAGCTCCGTCAAAGGTGCAAGCCGATGTGTAGCGCATGTTTGTGTTGTTCCACGCTGCCAATGGCAAGGTTGCTGGATCAACACCAAGTAAAGTCCGAGATTTTCAAGCAACATTCGTTAGATCCTGTTGGGAACATCAGAAGAAGAAGTTGCTCATTTTAGATCATGTTGGCGTAATAAGACCGGTGCAGACTTTGCGAATCTAGTGATTTTCTATTAGCGAATTCTTTTTCTTCGAATTCTCAAAGTCTGGCACCGTCCTAAAATCGCAGTCGTCTATGTCAACACGAAAGCAACAACCGATGTTAGCCGTTATTCTAGCTTCGCCATTTGAAAAGAAACAATCTTTCCAATTCTCTTGGACTGTAGTCGGACATGCTCTCACTAGATTTATCCATGTTTGCTTAACACATTGACGACAATGCGAAATTTAGTGTTTGTGGCCATGTGGGACCGACGCGATTTTGCGACCGCGGTATAAATATCCTCCGCACTGTCCAACAAGGCCCTTTTTGGGAGCTCGAACATATGAACAACTTTAGGGAGCGGTGACTAAGTAAGTTAACATACATGATAAAAGCACAGTGGCTTCTCCAGCAGAAGCTTCGATTTAAAAAAACGCTTACTTAGGGACAAAATGGATCAAATTGAAGACCTTCTTGAAGGCTGTTCCTATACTTTTCTACTATGAAGTTAGAACTTCTCACGACATGGCAATTTTATCGTTCTCAACGTTTTGGCCGTACACTCAAATGCCATTCACAATTTTGCTTCTTTCTTAAGAGTTAGTGTGAGTATGAGCTGAATTGAAAAGATCACGAGTTGTTGAAAACCTTCGTCAAACTAAAGCATATTTAACTATTCCATGGACCACGACGTTATAGTTATATCGATATCCGATCACGTAGAAACAAAAAACTTTTGAAGAAGTCGCCCATCTGCGAAAAAAAATGATGGAGTGGATCCGGAAGACATATCCCTCGTACGGTCCGACGTGTCCTCCAAAGCACGAGATATACACTAGCGGTCAAGGGTTCGCCGAAACGGTTTTTAGTGCATTATTTTTCCTCATTTGAGCAACGCCCTCCAAAGATTGATATACCATGTTTTCTAGTGGTTTTATATCCTCAAGTCTCAAAAATTGATTTTTTTCTGGCAAGAAAAGAGAAGCACGATAAACCGTCTCGGCGAACACTTTTGGCCGCTACTGCACATATATCCCCGTCAATGTGTTGACTAAAACGTTACTCCGCTTTGCGCGTGCTCTCCAACTTTTTGGATTAGATCATCAAAGGAAAAGCATCTTTGTGCTATCATTGACGGAAGCATAGTTGCGTCAAATGACCCCGTGAAATTGTCGTCCTCAAGCCTGCAAGAACGTGATCGATCTACAAATTGTCAAGAGTCCGGTAAATAGAACAGTGAAGGAGGAGTAGTTGGCGGACAGTTTTGCTGAGGAACCATGAAATGCGTCCGATCGATCAATTTACACAGCTTATTGTGCGTTATGTGAGCGTACGAAAAATGTTCGTATGTATTCAGTACACAGAAAACTTGCGCATATCGGTAAGAACATGGAACTTGCTGGATTTCAAGCTTTCCCTCCTGACAAAACCTTGTTCACTGCTGCTTAGTTGCAAAGTGTTGCGACTGTCAGATGGAGTTCTGCAATTTTCCCATCCACAGACTCGGAAATTCTCCATCATTGTCGCGAAAGGAAGTTGCAGTGCTGGTCGGACTGGCACGACGATGTTTCGGATACGGTAGGCGCGGAATGTCTGTGCATGTGGACGGATGTCCACTGGTATGATGTCACAAAACGCTATGGGAATGACCCTCAAATTCCAGCTTTTCACTCATGTCTACTGACTTGAAACATCCCCCAATCCCCTGAATTGGCTGCACTCCTCCTGGGTCATCCAAATTGACTCTTTGTCTGCCCACCCCCCCCCCACCCCCTTTATTACTCCAACTAATTTTGTTCCAATAATAGTTACTTCCAATTCTTCACGACTGTATAATAGCTACATTTGCTCCAGTGTCAATGACATGGAACCGCAGTGCAACCACTGCCGCGACTGCGGCCATCCTTTTAGACAACGTCACGTGGCAGCCGCCAGGGGGAGGCGGGGCTTGCGGGAGAAGGTGTGGATCGCGGGTTGAGAGTTCTAGCGCAATTATCGCGCACTTTTAAACCGCATAAGGCTCGCGACATCAACGCTTGTTCGACTTTTTACCATGCCTGGGGATGGAACAGGTGAGCACACAAACTCGGAGCGTGATTCTAACGGCGGAAGCAATTAAGCAAGAGAAACTACCCGGTCATTCACTGCCAATAGTAAGATGCGTTGTACTTAGAAGTCAGCTAGCGAACAGGGAAAAAGAATTCAAAGCCAACTCACCAGTATACTTACTCTATTGGTTCTTATGGATTAGGGTGTGTATTCGTAGAATTTCAAGAGTTTTACAGTAGAGATATGTTTGTAGTAGTCCACTCGTAATGCTTTTAACGTCGAAATCACAATCACCGCAATATTCCCTTCTGAGGCGTTCCAGTGAAGCTATCTAATTTCTCATTATTTGCTAACCCAGTGTTTTTGCGCACGCACACATAACCACCTTCCAGTTTCTCAAATGCACATATCGCAGGGTGAATGCTGAAGCTGGTAACAACAGCCCTTTACGCACACTTCCCTAATTTTCCATACGGGTAGACGCGAGCTTCTCCATGGTGCGGGTCCCGTCATATGTAGAGGCGAGTCGTGATGGACTGATGTTTAATGCTTTCTTATGGTGCGTTAGAGGCTAGTATCAGAATCAAATTGATGTGGTAGTTTCACTCGGATAAGCTTTCGTAAATGCAAAAGGTGGCAAATGCAGAAGCTCCTAGTAAATCTAATGAACAGTCGTTCATAGGTATAGCTGATAGGTGATAAATGATAGCTATAATTAGTGGCAATTGATAGAATACAGCTGCAACCGGCTGATCATTTTGCTTGCAGAAAAATATAACATTTTGTGGAGGTCGCCGTCACGTGTGTTGTCATGTCTACCTTGGAGAAGCTCATGACCGTTGGGTGTACGCCAGTCGTCCGGATCCGCGCGCTACTGGTCGTGGCCGCGATGTCGCGAGTGCAGTGGACCAGTTTCTATGTGCGCTATTGAATTTGAATGTTGAAGGAACACCAAGTAGGCCTGCTCAACAATCAGTTTCAAACAATGCGGATAGTCAATTCTATCGATTTTTTTCCGCTTTTTCAGTATTGCGTAGCGGACCTCTGAAAAAAAAACTTGTTCACGCCATTTTCTATGAAAGAACCAGGGCAAGTAAGTTGGAATTTGATATCCACGCCCCTCACAGATTATTGTGGACTGCAAGAAATTCACTGCTCCAAGTCAATTCAAAAATTCCGCGCCCATTGCAAAATCGCCGCATCGCGCCCCTGCGCAAAGGGCCGCAGGCGGCAGAGCGATTACCGGACGATTCTGTTGACCGCTCCCCATGGCCGTCATGCCGCCACATACCAATTTGATGAATCAGATTTGTTAACATCGTGAACATACCGCCATCGCCTTCTCGGCTTCCGTCATATTATTGTCGTCATCTTGAACAGCTCTTATTCTGCTGCTGAAAAACATATTCGAATCAATAACCAAGCATAACCTTTCACAATCAGCAGATTTGCAATTTCTAATGGGTTAAATTACTATGTTATTGGGTCTCTACTGTACTACAGACTACGCGATTCGCTGTAAGCTGTAATGGTTCAAGAATTTGAGTAAAGAACATTATCGCATGCTTGTTTGCTAAGAACGATATGCATAATCTCATGCTTCAAGAAGGGTGAGCGGAAAAAAAAATCCCGTCAGCAGTATTTGTCTGAGTCGGAGTGGAAGATGTCATGGGATAAATACCGTGCGAACGACTCACCGGCGTGGCGAACTGCAATAAAAGAAATAACCTTCACGTGAATTTGAGTTTTGAAAACGAATAAGCAAATCAGAACCCTCTTTTTTTTAGGCCCGAATGTAGACCTTTGTATACTATTTCTCTTTTAACAAGCTTCAAAAAATTACCTCTCATTTTTTTCGACGCTGATCGGCTCTTCAGCCTCATCGTCCTGTTCCTCTTCCTCCTCCTCTTCTATCGACTCCTCCTCTGAGCTAAAGTAATGTTAATTTCAGATAGGACAGATTAGAAGCGCGTGGATGATCTCACCACTTTTTTCTCCAACGAGGTATCCATCGCTTTGGTCGTCTGATTTTGAGTTTTTTTCGTACTGCATGATCCACTTTTTTGAGTGGTGGACATTCTAGTAGATGCACCCGTTTTGAGAACTGTTTCACATTACGGTAGACTTTCCTGAGGGACGGAGGTGATGAGTGCCGATATGGCTGAGGCGGATGACGAGTTGGTGTACTGTATTGGATGAATTCCACCGTTGGTGTCGGAGTTTGAAGACGACCTCTGGCCTGATAAGCTTGGAATGTGAATGTGGCACGTTGTGCAAGTGCCTTGGGTCGGGGGATATGTTTTGACCGTCTGAACTGCTCCACTAGCAGACGATCTATTGGCGACAACTCCGCGATTATGGATTCTGTACAAGTTGCTATGGCTCCACTAGTCGTCGCGGAACGAGCTAGGGAGCCATCTGGGTTTAAAGGCTCAGCTACTTGAACTACATTACATCGACGAAAATACGGTGGCGGCATGTCGATCGGAAGCACCGACTGCTTCTTGCCGGAATCAGAGCTCGGTAAAGCCGATATCAAAAAATCCTTGTATGGTGCGCAGTTCTCACTTGCTGATATGGGGAGACCCGGTTTGGCTGGAGGCGGCTTTCGACGGATTGCATTAGATCGCTTCAGTGGGGACACCTTTTCTGATTCCACCTCGAGTCCACCATCAGTCTGACTATCGACCCTCTTGAGGCGGCTTCTGGCGTTCTTGAGATCTTCGGCAGCCTCAGCGTCTAGGAAAAAGTCAGGGATAACTAGGCGATTCACCTTTCGTTGTTGCTTGGCTTCCGTCTGTGGGTCTAATGTTAGTGAGCGATTGAGCTTACCAACTGTTCGCCCTTGTTTCATCACCTGAACAGTCTTCGTCCGGTTCATGCTTGGTGGCTTCTGCGGCACCTGCAGGTATGCGAACATTGAACGAGAAGTCGCAGGAAGGGCAATGGTTGTTGAGCATTTATTCGGTGCGCGTTCGGTCAGGCGTAAATTCATTCGGACGTTCTTTTCCGGCCTCTCGATTGCTCTCTGGGAAACCTGATAGAAACTGCAATGTTGTATGGAGATCTCGGCCGTGCAGGGGATGGCAGAGCTCGGCTTTCGTTTCAAACTGGCCAAAACTGTCCTCTGCTGTTCGACTATAGTAGCAGGTTTGGCCTCCGTGACCTTTCTGCGTTCTTCTGTCTGAGTGAGTTGCTGCTTTCCTGAGTTGTTCTTTTGCTTCTGTGCGTCAGGTTGAGGCTTAGCAGGAGCTGCTCGAAATTTAGCCGAAACTTTGGCTTTTTGGTTTTTTATCGGAACACACAACGTCGCTGCCAAAGACTTCTCCTTGCACTTCAAGACGCGGGAGGTAGATAGAGTAACATATGCAGGAGAGGTACATATTAGGTCAACGGGGTCATTCCATATTGGTCCGACAGGAAATGCTTTGGAAATCGGCTTGAACGATGGTTTTCTGCCGAACGAGAACGCAGCTGTCAAAGATTTCGAAGATTTAGGACGAGATTCTCGGCAGGACAAAGTCGTATGCAAACTCGATTGTAACGACACTACGGTCTTCGAACAAGAATGAGAAGCTTCGGGTAGTGAGAAGTGTTGGTCACAGACTATTTCTTCCGTCTTAGCTGCATCAGAGTTACTTCTATCACTGTCATTATCCGTCGAAAGACCCGAATCACTCGAATTGCTTGGTGTTCGGACTCTTTGATAACGCTCTTTTCTTATAATTGGAATCTCCTCCCAAGCTCTCAGATATTTGGATTCATCCTCTGCACTTAGCCCTCTAGATCGAAGTAGATCGTCAACGCGATTATGAGCTGCAAGCAGTCGACTCAAGTACTCATTCTGGGTGATGTCCTGCATGTCGGAAGTGATCTGCCTAGAGCCGTCTTTCCGATCGAAAATTCTGGAAGTGCTGCTGCCGACGCTGGTGCCGAACAGATCTCCGCCACCGACCACCGTTGTCTCAGTACCAACATAGTCGGATTTTCGGCGTACCGCACTTGATCCACCATCTGAGTCCGGCTGCTGCTGTCGACGCTGTTTCAGGTAGCTCTGTGCGGGGGTTTCGGTAACGGATGTTTTTCTTACCCCATAGCGTTCTAGAAGAGAATTGGTCTCGCCATCTAGCGTTACCCTAGAGTTACCTACATTATCGGCGGCTTTGCGATCATCGGACAACCTACGAAATGAGAATCTAGAGGAGCTAGTAAGTGAGTCACGTCCAGCGGCTGAATCTCTACTGGAATAATCCCGAGAAAAGGATGAGTCTTTATAAGCGGTACCTGATGGCGAAGATGGTGAGTCAAGCCGGGCTGATGAGGTGCTGCTGCCAGCGTTGTTACGATTTATATGAGAGGGACTATATACACCGGGTGTTAATATATTAGGAGAAAAAGAACTGAAACTTGAACGCATAACCCACTATTGATCCTCCTTGCTGGACATGGTAAGACTGTTCACAACTGAAAGTTTACACGTTCAAAATCTACGCGCATAAGAGAGAACTTTAGAAACGGCTGAGTATCCTAAATCACTTATCACACCCAGGGGACCCTCAGAGCACAGCGAACGACAGAGTCGGAAACTGAAAAGAAAATAGCTTAGCAATTTTACACAGGATCGCAAGTGTGATGAAGGTCCACCAGGTTTCGTAACTGACTGCTAAGTTTCTTAAAGAGAAGATGTAAAGGCAAGAGCAGAGAGAAAGAAAAGTAGAAATGATAAGGCCACTCAGTGAGACCTCCTGCCCGACAGGCCCCAAAGCGTTCTTGTGATTACGCGATGGTTGAGCTTGTGTTTACCTTCTGAAGGTGCTTTGATAGAGCTATCGACGCAGGAGGAGGAGATCAGGAAAAACCGGATATTTGAGATGGACGGTATTGTTTGTGAGTAGCGCATTCGAAATAGAACAGTCTTAGTCAGTTACTGACCTGGTTTTGACCTTGATCACACACATGTACATACGCGAAAATAGTGTCACGACATCCGATCATAAGATTTATGAAACGAGCTTCAAGTATGTAACAACAGTGAGTTGAGTGTAGACACATGAGGAGTGGGATTGGTGTGCATTCAGCTTTGAAAATCTTTAAAAAAAAATGGAATTTCCTTGAAATTTCGGACACACAGTTCTTGTCTAAAGGATATTCACTGTTCCAACAGAACCACAGAAGGGCCAGATAAGGATGATGACGTCACGAGTCTATATATACAATTCAAGAATTTTTGGCAGCGACCCAAAAGAAGGCACACAATGATGTTCCACTGGAATTCAAATATAGGTAGGCCTTTAAAGGGCTTATAAAACAACTTCATTGAAATCGACCCTGCTGTGCCACTAGGGTCGATATAAATTTCATAAAATTTGTCATTGAATCATCAAATTATGATAATACCATATGACAGAGGTGGAATAAATTTCATACACAGATAAAAACGATTTGTATAAAAATTGCCGTTTCACATGGACGACGCCTCACGGCTTAGGAAGGTTTTTGCCGCTATTTCTATTTTCTCTCTTTTTTGAGAACCTCAACTGGTAACCAACTCTTCAATTCATTTCACGTCCTCAAATTAGTCCTGGGCTTGAACTTTGACTCCAGCCTCCAGATCCGACTTCTGGTTCTGTCAAGCAGTTAATGTTCCCGATCGATGAGTTGTACGAGATATAGACATGGGCAAGGGCGGAAGTGGTGTAGTGGCAAGTGGCGCGCTTACCACGCGAGCGGTCCGGGATCAAATCCTGGGTCGTGAGTCGCCCGGGCCAACCAAGCCTTCCATCCCTCCGGGGTCAGTTAATTGGTACCAGACTTGTCTGGGAGGATAAAAACACTGACTTGTACATCGGCTGGCCCCCGCAGGTCATTGTATCGCCCACATCGCATTCAAACGCCACTGCGAATGCACAAATGGAAGTAGAATGCGTGCCGCATCCCAAAAAGGGATTGATCAACGGCAATTGCTTTATCCTTTTATCCTTTATAGACATGGACGACAATTACGTCTTTGATAAATATATTCTCTGAATATATTCTCTGATCAGTGAATTTAAATATTCAAGAGATAGGAATTGTGAAGTTTACATTTTGCTATGTGGTATTGGCAGAGTGTTTACAGTGTCCCTTTAGACGTCTCACAGTATTGTGTCGCGGAATCTAAGAGGGTGCTTTGAAGTGACCCATTTGAAGGGTAGGGGTTGTTAACGCAGGGATTGAGCACCGAGTAGAGTGGTGGAAGCCTCTTCTAGAGGCAGGCGCAACTTGGACTTACGCCTATAGAGATTTGGAGAGCAGCGTAGCATTTTGTTCACATAACGTAACGCCTAGCCGAAAAGCACCTTAATTTTGCCATAAACTGCACTTCATTTATATCAACATGGATAGAAAAAGATCGGCAATGTGAAAGCCACGTAGTTACCAAAACCACGAGACATGCGCACCAGTGTTTCTGGACCAGTTAAATTCAGCAAAATCGAGGATAGTCACATGTAAAGGATCCTCTCGCTCTAGGCAGGCAACCTGTCGCTCTAGGCAACTTTCCTTTGAGCTACTCTGAAGTAGTCACTTTATCGGGTAGCTTCATTATTTCCAAAAAAGCGAAAATCTCGAGATTTTTGCGAATGCCTTCTGTGTGAGCTCTGAGAAAGAAGTTCTGAAAGGTAAAAACTCATATGTGAAAACATTTCGGATATTTCTAGGGTGGTTTCCGAGTCATAACGTGAAATTGGCGGCTTCGTCTAATAAATGTCGCCCATCAATCTCGACGCTCGCTGCACCGATTAGGTACATTTGGTAGTTTTTCAACGGTCTCATACTTGTTCAAATCATTAATACCTTCTCATTTCTTTGGTTTTTGAATTTTTGCCTCCCCTATTCTGTTCAATCCCATTTGCATTCACCAGACTGTCAAAGGAAAGGTGTAAATTGGTGAGAACCTTTCCGATACGCTCCCTTCCCTTTGACCTATGAAGGAAAAATTGTGAGCCGTTTCAAGGAGAGTCAGCTGAGCTGAATATTCGTACCATACGCTGCCGTGAGAAAACTGACGTAAACAGGCTGAAGCTGCGAAAACCGTAGAGCCATGGATCGTTTTTCCCACGTCCTAGGTTTACCTTCATGGAATTTAGAAAGCCACAGGTGACACATAACGAATACTGTCCATCTAAGCGGACCATGTGCAATAAATTAAGCGGTTTATGAAAATTGCAATTTTGCACAATGAGGTCTTTATAGTCACGAGCTGGTGAGGGCTTTGTTTCTGATGCTCTTCTTCGATTTTTGACGCTAACTTATTCTGGGTGTAGCAGGCGCTGCCTTGCGTGCGGGTTTTCTGCGTTTTGTCTCGGCGAGATTGTATAAACTCACATTCCAGCTTTTCACACAGGTCAAGTGACTTGCCTCACCGCCCACTCAACCAACGCCAAGGGCGTGAACATGCAGCACGCGGCGGTGGCGACTATCCTCCCCCAACTACTGCACGCAATTTTCTGTAAGTTGCATGATTTTTTATCGCGCTACATGGTGCAAAAAACGATTTCAAGTCAAGAGAAGAAGCTCCAGAATGAGTGAACAAATTTCGCACTTTTTCAGCTTGAAACATCTTACTTCAATCACTCTGAACATACTCTCTTTCCGAAAAACGTTTTTGGTGAAGCGTGTTCGTCTTGGTTCTGAACGCTCCAACAACAAGTGAATTTCAAGAGAATGCCCCTTTCGCATCCTTGGGCAAATATTAGTACGTACACAGGTTTTCTGTTCACCACATGTTATGGAACTGTTAGCATAGAAACTGGGTTAAGTATTAAAGAAGAAATGAACATTAAGTTAAACGACGTTCAAGCTATTGATAGTGCTCACGTTACAAAGTGAGTTCGTTCTTCGGCAAACTTAATCTTGGGATTTTGGGATATTTTTGTCAAAGTGATTCTGATCTATTTAAATCAAAGCACAAATTGATTCATTATTTTGAAACGGGACTAAGAAGCCCTGAAGACGATGAAATCGAGAGAGTTCCAACTCTTTCAGCATGACTGCTGGGTAGGTGCACTCCTAGAAAGCGTTTTTCCAGAAAAAAGGAATGGCCTCATCAAGGGGTACGCGAAAAACCGCACGGACTCGAAATTGTTGAGATTATTTCGCCCGGGCGCATTTTTCGAAATTTCCTTCACATTAGTAAGAACTATAGAATTAATTAGTCGGAATAAGACTTTGCTGTGACAAAATGGATTGGTTACTCATTTGTTCTCGAACGTCACGTCCAAGACAAATATTTGATTGCCGAGAATCTTAGAGAATCTCATCGTATCATTGATGAAGTGTTCTTCTGTTTAATGGATAAACATCAAAGGTCATTTGAACTTTTGACACAAACAGAACTAACAGCGAGGATGAGTCCAGTAAACGTAAAACAGAAGAGACGAAATTGAGCGTAGGAGAAAAGCAGATGTAGGAGTGTCGACATTTCAACCGTGCACTTATGAGACGTGCTCCATCAGCGATACCTTCGCCGCTTGTCACATGACAGCTGAAGCGGTAACTTTTGACAAGTGTGCAAAAACTCTGTTGAGCAAACAGCAGAGGTTTTTGCAGATCTGATGAAGGTTGGATCCCTTCAATGATAATAAGATTCTAATATCTTAGGTGTCCCAAACAGTTGTAATAGGAGAAGGATATTGCAGCAGTCGAGGTTACCAAGATTTACAACATTCCGTTTCGGAAAAATAAATATTTTATTTTTCCCTGGGTATTCAAATTTAAATTAAATTCACGGTATTACAACGAAAAAAGGAATAGGGAGCGGAAGTCTCGAGCGTTTAGTGATCATAATGTGAGAACATAGCTGCTGGTCCTCTATATCCTTTGATATAATTGAAGCAACAATCCCGGGACGAATTTGCGGGGTAAATGCAGTTGATAATGTAGTTATAGGCAACAATTTGACCGATAATAACGAAAAAAAAACCAAACAAAAACGCCGAACAGGGCTAAACAGGGACTCCCCTTCCGTCGCTTAACGATGTGGGAAGACGCGCGTTGGACGAGTTGTCTGAACTTGCCCGCACTAAATGCGCTCCAGTGCATAACACTAACATAATTACATAACACTATACATAACATAACAACATCACAGCAACAAAAAAAAGAAACTATTCCAGTGCAACAGGCAGGATCACATTGTTACTTTCAAGGACAGGGTTCAAATACTCCCTGTGGTCCCAAAACGAGCACGAATGCAATTACGGCTGGCACGTGGGCGGTCTCGAAGAGATCTCCAACCACACCCATCTTTGAGGAGTTTAACGCCCTTTTTAGGCTTTTCCCAGGTGAGTTTTCTTTATGACTACACTTTAGATGTTCTCCAATAGGGCCTGTGCATCCTTCAGTGCCACTAGTATTGAAAGAAGCAGACCCTGCAGG